CCTTTGCTGGACATGCGGCAACAGTTACTGAGTTTGATCGGGTGGACAAGCCAACAAAAACTGGATTTGATTGAGGTTGGGTGCCTGATCTGTCAAGTAAGCATTGGGCTGCCACACATGCAAACACATACACACATCGCAACACACATCACACACACACACGGAGCAAAAGCATGGCGTTCTTTCGTAAGCCCGCCACCGCTACCTCAGCTTTGGAAGGCACCTCGTTCCAGCAAGGAGGAGGCGCTGAAGCGGATCCAACGAATGCCCAAAGTCGCCGCATACGCCCGCGGTTCTCGTTCATTTCCGAGTGTGCTGCAGGGACATCCTGGTCATCACCTCCTGAACCAGTCACACTTTCATGAATCCAAATGGTTGGAACACCCTCGCATGGGCACGACTGCCCGTGTCAATGATGCCAATGATCTCCAGTTGACATGTATAGCCATTATGTTTTACCCGCATGCGTATGGATTAGAACACTTTGCCGGCCCATAACCTCCGTCCTGGAGCCTTAGTTCGTCTGCACCACTTTGGCCCCTTGTATCCTGCACATAGGAGGCCAAACACCTAGGATCAGCTGACAAGGATCAGGGGTCAGCGCAATGAAACATCCGTCCGGGGACTCAAAAGCAACAAATATGAATAACCCGGAGTTTGCGTCCAACAAGTTTTGTGAGGGTGGTTGTTGTTCCAATCTATATCGCCTGTCAAGACCGGCTGTCACCGGCAGGGAATCTGCAGCAATGTGGACTCGAAAGGCTATGTTTCAAAACAGGGAGGGATTCCCTTTTGGCTTCCCCTTACGAAAAATGAAAAGGGCCCCGAGCCGCAAAAAGCGCGCCCAAAAGGTCACTTGGCCCAAGCTCCGCACGATGATCTCGATCGGCACACCGTATCGGAAACAAAGGATGGCCACAGGAGACAGGACGGCCACCTCGCACTTCAGTACTTCGGCCGAATTCGACTCCTACATTTCACCTTGTGGTGAAAGGGCAACCAAGGAAAAACCTACCCGGTTTGGGGGTGTCCCCCACTTTTTGAATTACCCACATCAAAAACCACGGACCTTGATGGACTTGCCCAAGTGAGACGAGCAAAAAGTAGGACCCATTGTTAATTAGGCACCTTCAAATGTGTCAAAACAGGGGTACTGCCGCCAAACGCTTCGCGTAAACTCATAAACCCTTCGAAAACGACACTTTGCCCTGAGGTCTGATTTTGTGCGCGTTGGAACTACACTTCGCAGTCATCCCAAATGTTTCAAACACCTCCCCAGAAGTATCTTTGTTGAACTGCGACCCGTTGGTGGACACACCGACACGTCGGCTTTTTCGTTGAGGGTGAACAGCGACATGGCCATGGGTCAAAAGCCCGTACCCCCAGTGAACATCCCAATCCCCACTAAAATAGACTAAAATGGGTGGTGCACCTACCCCAAAATGGTGCCATTGGTTTTGACCCACAGCCACATGGGTGTCCAAATAGGAAGTCCCAAAATGGTACCCTTGACAAATATGAGCACCCACGTGCCGCCGGGAGGCCGTCAGGAGCGGAAGGCCTACATCCTGGAGTTGAGCCTCACAACGCTTTCAAAGTCTTTGGGTCCAGGGGTGCCCCCGGTTTGCCGCATGCCCTCAAACGAAGGGAAACAACCCTCAAACAAAGGGAAGAAACACTCAAACGAAGGGAAAAAACTCAAACCCGTCATGCAAGAAAAAATGAGCAACATGTTGAGCAAAAAGGACGGCCAAAAGTATCGATGGCCATCGGACCATGAATGTGAAACAAACGTCCTGTTTGAGGGGACAAGCATGATGCTACACGCACAGCCCCGCCTTTTTGCCTCCTTTTTCGGGGTGTTTCAAACAACCATTGCAAATCGACTGACAGGGCACAAAGCAACTTTACACCCGCGCAAGGCATTGTCTCTAGCTACACGGACTGTGGCCAGTATGTGTTGCAAACGTTTGCGGAGAGTCCAGAACTGGACACACTGCATGTGGATGTTCCGATGATGTTCGGAGGCCATGGCACAAACCAACGCTGCCGTTTGCTAGGGTTGCCTATCATTGGGTGGCATGGGAACACAGTGGAACTGATGCGATACTGCGGGTGTGGCTTCCTAGAAAGTGTCACACACTTGGCGGGCAAGTGCAAGAAATGCGCATAAACTGTCCGTGCCAATGGGCAGAGCGCTTGGAAGCACGCTTTGCATTTACAGCTAAACGGAGCTGCAACGAAGCACACCTGAAATTCAGATTCCGAGTCCCTGAGTCTTCTACCACCTTTATGAAATCAAGTGCAACAGTCAAACAGGAGCCCTGAGCCGTCCGAAAGCTACGCTCAACTCACACATTTCACGCACAAACAACTGAGCACCAAGCTGACATGAGGAATTGCTTGTGGGGACGTCTGAGCCAAAAGCAACCACGCAAGAATCTCAGGGACAAGAAGGATCGCATCATTCTGTCTGACTCTCAATGAAGCCCATCAATCAAGCGAAGGCCGTAGCTTACCTTTCACATCGTTTCAAGGGTTGAAGGCTAGGCTTCCAGAAGCTTGCCGTGTGAAAGCCCTATACACACGTGGGTCACGCCCATTCTGCGTCATGTGTGTGTGTGTGTATGCGCGATCAATTCAACAATCACATACAAAGTCCAAACGGGCGCGCACTTTCTCCAGCATGTCCTCCACTGTCGAAAGACATGCAGGGAGTTGCCACTCGAAACATAACTATACACATACAATACATGAGAGATCATCTGTAGGTTCAAGCATCTCACCTGAATGTCTGAGGATTCTATGCACAACTGTGACTGCAGCAATTACCCGGTTACCCATGATCTTCCTGACTCTTGATTCCTTGGCTGCTAATCAAGACATGACGTAACCAAAACCTCACACCACGTCCTCTTGCGGCCACTTTGCGGCATGCAAGAGCGGCACACCCCAAACGGCTGCGTCACTCCGCCTGAATCGTCACCCGATTCACTGGCCCCGAACCCCTGGACATAGCTCCTGCCAAAGGGCGTGGGAATCTGCTAAAACTCGGGGCGACCCTATTCGCAAATTTTGCAGATTTTGTTTATTTAAAAAACAAAATCAGCCCCTCAATGTGTGTTTGATACTGTATCCGACTGCTGCAGGCTGCCATAGCATGTTTCAGCCAACCCCCCCCCCCGGCCTCATTTGTGGCTCCTCAACTTCTTCTTTGGTGCGGGGGAGACAGGCCCATCATCTCCTGGGCCGAAGACCCCGTTGTCTATGGCACGCTGGTCGAGTAAAGTTTGTTACAAAAACACACTCGAGTAATCAGATTTCAACATGACAACTTGCCAGACCAGGTCGGCTTGGGACGAGCCGTGCCAGTTTGCTCGCAAGTCCTTCCGATTCCTCGCAATCTGAAGGAGCGTCCGCCTGAAGATCAAGCCAGAATCTGGGCTTGGCTAGGACCTGGATTGCTTTGGGCCTTTGACCACGTGGCTCACTCGAAAAATTGGAAATTTGCATGTCCGGGGTTCCACTTGTCAGCCTTCAGCCTGCAGCAGACCCCCCCCTCACCTGGAAGTCATCGTCCTCCTCCTCCTGAACGCACTCAAGACTTTACCACACTTTCTCCACATACTAATATACAACTATGGGTTTCAACCCCCTAAAGTGGCTGAATTTCTGTTGGTTCCCCTTTAAAACCACCCCGAAGAGAAGCCACAAAAAGAATATATATATATATATATATATTCTTTACACAACAAAAAAGCTTCCACCCAACCCTCCGCCAACAGGCCTCGTACTCAGCATCCTCCTCAGGCAGTGGGGCTCCGGCTGCTTTTCGCTTTCCGTCAGACCTCAAACAGCATCCAAAGCCATCCGTGCAAGAACCGAGCAGTGACCATTGAACTCCAAGTGACAAACAAAAAGATGTGTTCTCCACGTTGGCATGCGGACATTGGATGGGCTCTCTACCTTTTTGGGGGAAACTCAATGGCATCCCACGTCCCAAACCTGAGCCCGCTATCAAAATGGATGTCTTTGGAGCGAACCTTAGGAGGTCGACTGGTTTGTTGAAGCCAAAACAACACTACCGCTTTTGGCTGCCTCTTTGGCCTTTGGCATATACGCAAATCGGCATGTACTTTTTGTTTTCCATTGGGGCTGACCATGGAGCCAACAGGACAGCAAGGCGACCGCTTGGGTAAACCGGTCCCGAAACAGACAACACTGATAAAACTAAACTTAAGAAATATCAGGCAGAAATGGGGGGGCTCGGGCGGTGACTTTTACATGAGTACCCGACGATTTCTGCACGCGCTTCCGAACCTCGGCAGATCGCCGAACCTTCGACACCTCGACTGTGGCTCACCTGTGCATATCAGACACGTGGGAGCCTCCCATCGTGCAAGATCGGCGAATTCGAGCAGTACTGATGAAATGTCGAGGCCCTTGCTTCATCGACATCCTTGATCTTGTCTTTCAGCTCAGCCTGAATGCATCAAAGCGAGTGCGGAAAATGGGAAACATTCAAACCTCAAAGTAGTAGTGTGGCCTTCTCCTCAAAGAACTCCAGTAGAATCTTCTCGTTTTCCTTCCTTGGCATGGAGTGATCCACAGAGAAAATCCACCCTCTGCCTTCCAAGTTCTAAAAGCAAATCACCAACAGTAGTGCCAAGCATCACGCTGCAAGCTCGTGAGTGTACAACATGTCTTGCAAAGAGATCAGCTGCCACTAGATAACATTGTTGAACCTACAAGCGGCGTTCCAGCAACTTGACAGGACTACAAACTAAGTCGCGGACTCGATCTGCTTGAATTCCATCTGAGAACATTGGAAGGAACCAAGCTGAGTCATCCGAGCATTTTGAATATGTGACAAGAAAAACTGACAACGATTGCTGCTTTGCAGCTCATCGGGAGTAGAATAATATTCATATCCCATGAATTGTCCCTCTCTCGCTCTCTCTCTCTCTCTCTGTCTCTCTTTCTCTTCTTTCTCTTCTTTCGCTGCTTGCTGCAGTTGTTTGAAAAAGGACCCTATGTCAATGTTCCATGAAACCAAAGTCAGGGTTAAGGCCCAGGCTGGTCTCTCGTGAGCCCAAGACAAAATCAGGTCGAAGGTATTCTCCCCTAGTCGAAAGCACCAGCAAGGCCGCATGGTGCTGGGAGAAGAAAAGGAGTCAATGCCCAAGAGGCCATCGAAAGGGGCTGCAAAGTAAACTACAAAATACCGACCCACAAAAGAGCGATGCAAAGGAAAAGGTAAAGGCTAGGTGAGGCTTTGGGTCCTGAAATTGTTGGTGAGGATCCAAAAGACCATTTTGTTGTGTGCTTTAATTCCCTTGCAAGAGCGACCAATTGAACGTTGGGATACAGTCAAGAGATCGGCTTGCTGGCACTGAAACAGTCCCATACAAATCAACATAGAGACCAATAAAAGCGCCCGAAAAGAGGTTCCTCTAGAATCATGCTTCTTGGATTCCATGATAATGTGGAAAAGGGGAGTGATCGTGGGAATGACAGCTGCCTTCGGCCCGTGCGAAGCCACTTCTCTTTACGAGGCCGTCACGTCCAGACGAAACAGACTGAGGTCTGTGAATTTTCGTGGCAACCATGCGAGATCGATAGGGCTCAAAACCAGCCAAGATTTGTCCACAGTTCTCAGCGAAAGCAGCAGAGAAGTTCGGCCAAGCAGCGCAACATGCCCTTCTGGAACTCAATACCTGCAAGAATGAAGCAGCGACAAGACCATCAAATCTGCGAATAACACAACAACCCCAAAGCCTGAACCAAGGCATCATGGCGAGCCGTTTCTACCCCCAGGTGAGCTCGCCATCAAATAGGCAGGTCGCATGCAATGGCTGGCAGTCTAGCTCACGTGACCCGAGTAGCAATCTCTGCTAAGTTCTTCTATTGGCCTCGGGCCCTGGGCCTCGTTTCTGGGCCTCGCCCCTTCACGTTCAGGAACCTTTGAGCTTCACGTGGGCCCAAATGCCGAGTTGATCCATTGCCGAGATCCACTCCCTTCGCTTCTGAAAGCTTGAGTCGCCTGCCTTCCAGCTCGGCAAACCGCTTCCAGGTCAGCGGCTTGGGAGCCTGAGGGCTCCGATTCACTCCGAGAACGAACCAGGGTAGAAGGGGATACGGGGTAGTGTTGACCCCATATTAATCAACCCCAGTTTGTCAATACTACTAAACTGGGGTTGTTGAATATGGGGTTAACATTATCCCGAAATTGTGAACCCCTTTTGGCTTTATCCAAGGAGTCAATCTTAGGCTATTCAAGCGTCCGAAGGCTCCCGGCAAAGAGCAGCGAGGCTCCAAAGAAGAACAGGTGCCCACGATCCGTCTGGCCCGGTTCAAAGGCAGCCCGCTACAACACTCCTCTTTGAGGACCTCTCTGAAACCCAGTTTCAATTAGTCCAGGTTTCGACAAACCTTCATGAATTCATGATTGAACATGAACTTGAGGCTTGTTCTGCCCGCGTGACCCAAAATCAAAAAGGCACTTGCCGCTTACAAGCCACGGGTCTTGAGGCAGACAAAAACCTCTTGCTCGGTGCGTCCCTCAGCTCCTCACAACTTCCTCTCAATCAAGCCAGGAGTTCCATCAGCGTGCAGGGCAGGCAGCCTTTTTTATCGTGCGCCTCAGGCAACTTTCTCAGGGTTGATTCCGATTCCATTCTTTCCAACCATCCTTCTTTTCGAAACCGGCCGTTTCCCAGGGCTTCCGGAAGTTTTCTAGAAAGATCCGGATCCCTGGAAATGAGGAAGCTAGCACTAGAAACTTCACCGCATTGCCAGGAGCAACTCGGATCGGGCCTTGAAGTTCGCAGGCTGCAGCACCTTCTGCTCACTCAGCTCCTGACATTCATACCGTGAACATCCGATTCAATCCAACCACTTAGGTTCTAAACTGGGTGGTGAATTCACCTACCCCAAAGTGGTACCATTGGTTTTGACCCACAGCCATCTGTGCTAAGGACATGGCCAGCTGCGAAACGCGTCACGTGTCCTTGAGAAGAGACGCCACAACCTCCCATTTGGGCGCCTCCAGTGGCACTTGCATCAGAGGTTGGTCTCGTGCTTTCACTCCCCCCAAAGAGGCAATAATTGATTGTATCATGGCTTTACTCTCCCAGAATAGCAATAATCGATTTCCCGTCCCAAAAACATGGGTCCCACGAAGGCACAAAATGCGCCTCCTCATCCTGGCAAGGCGGCAGGTTGTCTCGAGACTTCTGCAGGCCCTTGCTCTTGGCGGCGTCCCAAGCTGCCTGGCAAGTCCGGACAGGTTGCTTTGGATTCACGCTTTGGAGGCTGGGGAATGTCTTTGCATTTACCTCTACCAAAGGTCCACCTAACAACCAAGAACAAACATCATGGGGACAGAATTAGACCGAGGAACGAAGAGGAACGAACAAAAAGAAAAAAGCGGAATTGTGTCATTTGGGGACGGGGAGCGGCCCCATTTTCAGGTAGAGGGACGGGATTACAAGAACTACA